AATGTGGTATTATAACGAACGAATTTATAAAGAATGATAAGCATTTTGGTTATAAAATAATAACGTGGGTAATTAGCATTGTGATTTTGGAAACCACCTGAAAGAATTGAAATAATTTATAAACAACATTTCTTTATAATTAATTATAAAATATAAAATACTTTATTATTAATTATATTTTAAAAACAATTTAAAAATTAAAAAAACAAACTCTATTTACATACAATGGAAAACGATTTGAAAACCCTTTCAACACTTTGCACAAACGCAGCAAAGGCAGTTTCAGACTTTCTCGCATTAAAAAAAGAATACACCTACTTTGACGACAAGTCAATTGACATTGCACAACGCATTGAAAATGCAGAGGGACACTTCGACAGACTTGATGAAGTTTTTGAAAGAAAGAAAAATATCACAACTTCACTCAACACAATTGTCACCAATTTGAACAACACATCAAACACCATCAAAAGTGAGTTGGCTTTATTTTTAACACAAAACGACAACGAGAAGCTGTTTGATATTTGCAATCTTAGAATTGCACTTCTTGATGAAAAATACAAAATAGACACAAAACCATATCAAGACAAAATTGATGAAATTTTTAAAACCAAAAATTTACAAATTGATGAAATTAAAAAGTTTATTAATTCAAAAAAACAAACCGACGAAAAAGAAAAACATATACGAAAAAAAGTAAAAAGAATAAGACCAGAACACATTTCACTTACAGAGAGAAATACAATTGAAAAGTTGACAGGAATGAAAATTGGAAGTGTTGTGTTTGACTCGGACAAAGACGACTGGTCACAAAACAACTCCGTGTTTATTGAAAAGGTCATTAACAAAAGCAACTTGTGCTTTTTAATAGAAGACACAAACCACAACAAGTTTGGTGGAGTTTTTACTGGCAATATCAATACTGTTAACAAATGGCTCAACGGTGGCAATTCTTACATCTTTTCACTTATGAGAAATGGCGCTTTGAATCCAAGAAAATTTGAAAAGAGTGGAGTTTATCCTGAAAATGAATTTTGTATTTGTTCTCAAGACAATTCAGCACTTTTTATATTTGGTGGAGGGTATGATATTTGCCTGTACAAGAAAAATGTTAATGGAAGTTATTGCAATGTATCAAATTACACCGCCAATGATAATGAGTTGACTGATAACAATAAATTCACACCCAAGACTGTTGTAGTCTATCAACTTAATTGATTCATTTAAAATTTGTCGTTATTAATTTAAATAAATTTAATTATGTCTTAACTTTGTACACCTAATTAACATTTAAAAAAACACTTCCTGTTAAATGTGTATTTAAATACTTTTTCAATATTTCGGGAATTGACTACTTATTTTATTATATTTTAAATATAAACTGTTTTTCAAAACTCTGTACTGGGACACCCCGATTTTTTAAACAAATAATTTCTAAATATTTTTTCCTTTGCTTAACCCTCATTTTTTGTTCAAATATTTACTCGTAAAAAACAAAATAACGAACCTGGAAAATCGGGAAAGATTTACCCGATATTTGGGTGATTTCCCGATTTTTTGTTTGATAATTGAAACTGTATTAGTTTTTAAGGGTTTTGAAGTGTGTACTGTGTTGGTTCAATAAAAAAGTAAAATAAAAAATAAAACAAATAAAAAATAGTAAATAATGGGAAATTGGGGTGAAGGGTTTATATAAATTTTGGAAACGGTACAGAGTTTTGGAATACAGTTTAGTAAAACCAACCATATTATTAAATTATCAAAATAATCAATTATTTACCAAGTGCAAAGAAAAACAAAAATAAAAGCGAGCAAGTTTTATATTAAAAAATTTGTTGTCAATTTATAAATTTTAATTAAATATATGTTGTTCAGTTTTATTTTACAAAATTACTTAACAAACTTGTTAACACCACTTATTGAATGCATTGTCTTTTATTAAAACAAGTAAATAAACAGTGTAGTTTGAAGTAACATCATTCATTTAAAAATATCAACTTTTAAAACCATGTAAACATGAGTTACAAATCAGTTTTCAACCCACATGTAGATTGCATTTGATGGTGTTGTTGAGTATTTATAACACATACTTTGTCCAAGTTTTTTATTTGTAAAATAAATAATATAGTATCTATTAGTTATTTAACTAAAAATCAAACTAATAATAAAAAATTGTATATTTTTGATGGTCAATGGAAAAGTGAGTTGTCGCTTTGCTTGGAAGTTCTTTTGCTTTATTCGTTTTGCAAAATGACAATGTAAAAACACGGTGTTGTGATGTATTTCTAAAAAAAAGATTTAAATAAATGACAGATTCATTGCACAAATTACACAGAAGTTGATTCAAAAATTTAAAGATAAAAGGAGTATAAACAAAAATAAAAATTTTTTTAGACTTTTTCTTATCTTTTGAATGTTTAAGCGACAAAATTGCATACTTTATAAGAGATATATATACGTTATCATAAT